CGAGCTTACGGGGCCGTGCCAGCAGGCTTACTTAAACTCCTCGAACTCACATTATGCAGTATAGATGCTAGTTCATCGTGAGCTGGTTCATCACTCACATATAAACAGCAATGATGTCAAATTCAACGAGCGCAAAAGAGCTCGAGCTCCGATTGATGCTCAAGCTGGACTTCCACAAATGCGGGGTTCGTTCTTGGGTGAGACGTGATTTACATCGGCTCTGCTCACCAAACAACATTTTGAACTTCGGGATGGACTCGGTGAAACCGTAAATATAGAGCATCGTTATACATTCGGAGAGAGCACGCACAGCCTTTGATTGACGCACAGCTCTTGCATTCAATTTTATGATACACGACATCACATTCAATGGACTATTGAACCATTCCCAGAGAACAAAACATTTTGAGAGATTGATGTTTTGACGTTGAACTACGTCTTTGTCGACTATACTGGGGTAAAAATCAAAAAATATGTGTGGTGAAATAGTGTTAGGTTTTTAACGCTTGTAACTTTGTCATTTATAAATGCAAATAAAATCTTAATACGCCAATCGATAGGATATTACTTAACGAATCTGCTGAAATAAATAACTTTCCAATTTGTAATCAAAAAACTTTTGAAACATGCACAAATGATAATTTTATCACTGTTTTCATGAACTAAACGATTTCCCCAAACACATTCATCACAAACAAATACCACTAGGTTGCACATCACATCACATCTGCTTATGGAAGATTTGTATCAATGCAACTAAAAAACAAACCATTCTGTTTCAACACTCGAATTCACCTCGGCTTGTTCCGCCTGCTTACGTCAAGGTCCATGTTGATAGCACTCCTATTGAATGGTCGAGTGAAGTAGTCTACCTTTGTCTCACCCTCGATAGCAAATTGCTAATCCGATCCCATGTTGACAAGACATCCACCAAGTGTAACATCTTGATCAGGTCGCTCTACCCTCTGATAAACAGGAAGTCCACCCTGTCCCTCAAAAACAAGCTTGCTGTCCACAAGCAAATCATTCTGCCGGCTATTGAGTATGGTATGCCAATCTGGGAGAGTTGTGCTAAGTGCCACCACTTAAAGCTTCAGAGGATCCAAAACAAGATCCTCAGAATGATCCTTAACAATCCACCGCGAACTCGTAATTCTGAGATTCACCACCTGTCCGGTCTTCGAACACTCGAAGAGCGAAAAACTTCCACGCTGGCAAGGTTCAGAGTCGCCTGTCTGCGATCAAACCCCCAGATCATTCGTGATTTGGCAACCTAGTTTAAGTAGTTAGACAGGTTCCTGTCTAAAACAGCAAAAAAGGTTATCTTCCATTTAATTCCACTTAATTAATTTTGGTATCCATGACAGATACGTATTTCGATTACAATGTGCAGTCTTCATCAGTGTCATTCCCACTAAGGAACTTATCAAAATCTTACCCCCTTTTTTACCTAGGGATGAGTACTTAAGAGGGTAAGATTTTGATAAGTTCCTTAGTGGGAATGACACTGATGAAGACTGCACATTATAGTCGAAATACGTATCTGTCATGGATCCCAAAATTAATTAAGTGGAATTAAATGGAAGATAACCTTTTTTTGCTGTTTTATTTAAGCATTCCGCTAACAACCCAATTTCATTACTTCATTAGGTTCCTGTGCTCAAGGAGGTAGGTTATCAAATTTTTTAATTCAAACCAAAACGATCCCATAAAGGGTATTCTGTAAATTAGCGCTAAACCGACGACAACAAATCAAGAAGACTGGTAACGCTTCCATTTTCTAATACAAACGCTATGAGACAGGTACAATCGCGTCATCTGCCGCTCAAAGGTAAATCCTTCGAACGAATTTGATAGCAAAGATTACATCCTCAGAAGAAGGGTTTGTGCTTTTGCTCATTTTTATATGCGTTGCTTCCACCTTCCCTCAAGTGCAGCGCTACTGTATCTGTCGCTTGGATTCTGGCAAAGTTGCCAGTCTTCTTGATTAGTTGTCTTAGGCTAAACGTAATCATCACATTAGAATAACCAATTAACTAGAACAAAGATGAAGAGCCAAAGGCTAATCAATTGAAATGTTAAACGAAATGTTGAAACATAACAGAAAATAAACGTAAACTTTACTACTACCGCCTCTGCTCATTACCGCTTCGGACGGCGTTGCAGTAGGTCCTGCAGAAAGCAGGACCAAGTCAGCGGCTAAAGGTGGATCGCCACGTGACCATGACCACCACCATGAGGAATGAGACTTGGAAAATTATGTATGTAAAATCCCCTCCTTAACAAAAACCTCTCTCCCCCCCCCCTCCCTTAACACACCGAATACGATGCCTCTGAAAAACGTGTAACGGTAAGTTTGCAATGGAATAGCTTAGCCATTTCTTGATGAATTTCAAAAATTGTGATATCTCTAGAATTCCTTGGGCCTGTAGATTATTTTGATTGTAAAAAACATTAAATACAGTCGTGTTCTTTTTTAAAATGCGAAAAAAGTCGTTACACGTTTTATTTTTAAAGTGTGTTTATAGGTTTTGCAAATGGCTTAAGATTTATAATCTATATTAATGGGCACAAAATGTTCATAATTAGTTAGGAACGGTCCTTCGGCAGATTCGGAACATCCGTCAAAGTGGTCAATCCATGAAACTGAGCCTAGAGCTTCGCGTTTTTGTTTTAAACATTAGGAACTGTACTGTACGACAGAATTTGTGGTCGTGACATAAACATGAATCTGGATGGCCATGGGACCGTCCTCCGGAAGATACGGCAAATCCGTAAAAGTGGTTTCTTGTATCACAGTTCCAAGTGTTTAGAAAAGAATTGCAGAGCTCTAGGATCAGTTTCACAGATTGACAAATTTTTCCGCTCTTCCGGATCTTTTGGAGGACAGTTCCATGGCCATACTGATCCATGTTTATGTTACAACCATAAATTCTATCTTATATCGTTCCAAGAGTTTTCGAAAATAATACACGTTTTTCACAGTTTCATGGATGATCCACTTTTACAGATGTTCCGGTTCTTCTGGAGGACGGTCCAATAGCCATCCAGGTTCATGTTGATGTCTCGATCCAAAATTCTTTCATATGTCACAGTTCGAAGTGTTTTTGACAAAACTACGGAGCTCTAGAATCAGTATCATGGATGGACCATTTTTTTGGATTTTCCGGAGGACGGTCCCATAGTCATTCGGGTCCATCTTTATTTTAAGACCCCAAATTCTAATATCACAGTTCCACGTGCTTTCGAAAAAACCTTGGAACTCTTGGATCAATTTTATGGAGTGACCATTTAACGGATGCTATTGATCTTCCGCACGACGGTCCCATGGCTATCCAGGTACATGTTTATGTCACGACCCCAAATTCATTCTATCAGCACAGTTCTTAGCGTTTTTCAAAAACTGCGGAGCTCTAGGATCAGTTTCGTGGATGGTCCACTTTTACGGATGTTCCGGATCTTCTGGAGGACGGTCCCATGGCCATCTGGGATCATGTCCCAAATTCAGTCTTATATCACAGTTCCACAGCTCTAGGATCAGGTTCATGGATTGACCACTTTTAAGGATGATCCGGATTTTTCGAGGACCGTTCCGTTGTCTCCAGGATCCATATATAGGAACGCCGTGTTAATACGTATCGACATAACCCCCCAATAAGTACTGGGACTTGTATGGAAATCCTTTTAAAGACCTGTGGATTTCCTATCGAAGTCCATACCAATTGAAACCTACTGGCACCTAAGAAAAAACGTAAGAGAATGCAGTTCGCCGATCGCATTCCGCACGGTACCGTCGTATTGGACGATCTGGCATTCGACCAATCGTTGCTGGAGGGAACCCATTTTGGCCATCTTGACTGTCGTATTAACCCTCTCGACTGACCATGACGTGGAGGAACTCTGTTGACGTGAAGCTATTCTGGACGAAACCTCAAGCCGCTGGGATTTTCGCTACGAATCGAATGAGATAAATTTAGTTTTATGGTGCAGACAGGTGCAAACAATACTCACAGCATTTTTCCTTGGAATCTAAACCCAATGTGAAGCCCAATGAAGTAAACAAAGAAATCAACCTTAGCAACGATTGTCAAAACGTCAATTCTCGACAGTGATGCCGTTTTATATTATGTCGTTTGTATCCTACTTGTCAACGTTTGTCCTAAAGAGCCGAATAGTGTGCCATGCTGTGTTTCGGCACAGTGTGCAGAGTTGTTTACCCCATTGATGGAAACTGATTGATTGACCACAGTGTTTACCGGCTGTGATGCTTGCGGAAATCAAATCCATGGAATTCATCTTCACTCTCACTGGGACCACCGTATTGTTTTAAATATTCCAAGCCAGACATTTCCAGTTCTGGTTATTCTGATAGCTTCTGATGGCACTAAAAATCAGCAATATCAGCAATCAAACGTAACAACAACCGCAACCGAGAAATTGTTCACAGTGGGACAAATATGCGTACATTTTTCGATTCGTGAAAGTTCACGGCATAAGTGTCCCAGAAGATTTTTTAATGTAATAATAGTTATATTTCGACAGTTTTTACATCGAAATTGCACGGCAACGGCAAAAAGTATTTTCATGCGATTAAAAAGTTTTCTCAGTATTGTGCTTTGTAACATGGCACAGTTATGCGTCCACCGGCAGTATACAGAGTAAAATTCCGGGGAATGGCTTCACACATTTCTTCTCAGTCGATCGAAGCTTTCGAAACCTAACCCATCGATCGGCTCACAACTCTACGCCACTACCATTGTTGCATTCAAAGGTCTGCCACTGCGCAGTTTGAATGTTTATATTTTGCTGTAATTGGAATGCTCATACACATTCACTTTCAGAAGACGCGCTTTGTGATAGTAAGTCGCACACCACCGAGAGCCGCCTTCAAATAATACCCAGCAAATCCATTCCTGTGAAGCGAGCTTGCCTTTATCTGCGCGCAAAGCAGTCAGGGCAATCTATCTCTTTATCAGTTTCGAAGACGTCTTGAGTGAGTGTGCGAATTCTGATTAAACACCTTCTGATGTGCGTTGACTTTTGTCCATCGGTCACGTCGCATTCAGTCACTTCCAGACTGCAGCATACACAGATAGACAGAGATGTTCTCCAGTAGGTATCACTTGGGACTTGTTTGAAATTGGCATTTACTAACCATTTGATTTTGATTGGCACAGAATTGATTGAGGAATTAAGTGGGTCGAGTCCGTCCAAACAGGCCCTGCTGGTGGCAGCCGGAGTCGGAACGGTTGCCGTTGGTGCCGCCGGTGCCTACTACATCAAGAAACGGATTAACAATACTCCACCGAAGCAATGGCGCCGGGTCGGAGAGATCAACGAGATCTACGTGTACCCGATCAAGTCCTGCGCTCCGATTCGGATGAGTCGGGTAAGCTGCGTGGACCTAGGACCGAAGCGGAATCTGCTACGCGATAGGATCTTCATGGTGGTGAACGCCGATGGGAAGTTGGTAATGGCGAGGCAGAAGCCAAAGATGGTACTGATCCAGCCGCAGTTCGACGACGGCTACCAGAAGATGACCCTTTCGGCACCGGGCATGGATGGCATTACGATTTTGGTGGGGGAATTGTTCAAACAGGAGTCGGTGAAGGCCGTGGTTTGGGGTGAAACGGTACCGACTGTCGATTGTGGGGATGAAGTTGCCAAGTGGTTATCGACCTACCTACTGGACAAGGCCGATGGTTACCGATTGAGATTCTACCCGTTGGATAAGACTTCCCGCAAGAAGAGTGATGAAGACACGGGTTCCCTCCATGATGAAACCAGCTACATGTTGTTCAACACGGCCACGGTGGAGGATTTGAACACCCGTCTGGACCAGAAGGTCACCGCGCTGCAGTTTAGACCGAACTTTGTGGTCAAAGGGCCATCGGCCTATGCCGAGGACGACTGGCGGTGGGTGAAAATCGGAAGTACGGTGTTCAAGTACGTAAATCCCTGCTTGAGATGCGTGTTCACCAACATCGATCCGGAGAAGGGAACCAGCAGTGCGGATGGACAGCCGCTGAAGACGCTGAAGAGGTGAGTCGAGGTGACGCTCTTGGAGTGCCGAGCTTTAATGGGAAACTTTACTTCACAGCTATCGCAGAATACCGGAACTTGGGGAGTCACCTGCTTTCGGAATTTACCTTGGTGTGAGGCTTCCGGGAGAGGTCAGTCTGGGTGATCCAGTGTACTACGGGTAGATTATTTGTTTTGTTCGGATTCGGATACCAATAAACCCTGTTGAGTTTGCATTTGCTTAGTGTTTACAATAACATCTGCGTTTATTTGTATGGAAAAAGTAAAATACTGTCAGGAGAAAGCCGTGGCGAGCGAATGGATTCCGACTCCAAACAGATTATATCGTATATTACAACCTACGAATAGAAAAAAAGAGAACCTTCTGCGATCAGGAATGGCAACTGTAAGTCTAGGGGGTCTGGGGGTCATCTCGATGGTGTTAGCATCCAACGTAGACCGTTTCTCCGAGGCGAACCGTTCCTTCCAAGCGGACGCCCATCTGCATGCCGACAATGGGGGAATCGCCGAGGTTTGGCTTCTTGCGGTATCTGAAAGTGTTTACGGCAGAATGTTAGGTTGTTTTTTTTTATTTTTAGTGGAAGGTAGCAGAGCGTGATTTACGTTTTCAGAGTCTTAAGGGGTTCGCCCTCCGGACTGGGAACGCCCGTTTCCGGATCAACGTTGGTGAAGATGCATCTGTTGGAAAGAAGAGGAAGGTTAGTTTGTTGAAAATTTTACGCACAGAATGAAAATATTACCGATTTAGAAAAAAAATTATCCGTTTGAAAGCATGGAATGAATAAGTATGATTTAAGAAAATTGTGAACGCTTATACGAATGGAATATTTCAAAAAGATGATCTAAATGTAAAATTGAAAATTATCATCAAAACGCATGAATCAAGCAGTTACCAACAGTGTTGGCAAAATCATCAATCAAATTATATTTTTCCGCTCTCATACGCTTTCAATATCACACGTGTCATGTCATGCTTGATATTGATTTTACAAGCTCACAACGTGCAAAAATCAAGCTGAGAGCTGACTCGACACAAAAATGATTCCGTTGCACCTCGTTTTCTTAGAAAGAGAAAGTATAGTTTGCTATCTCTTTTTACTCTTCACCGATGGCAGACACGTCTCTTCGCCAGCCAGCTGGAAGCTTCGGTTGCGTTCGGGTGTAAAGCAAACATCATTTAACTCAATCTCACCACAATTTGGTGAGATTTGCAGCTGGTGAGTTTTGTTAGCTTGATATTTCGAGCAGCGATATCACAGCTTGCAAAATCAACCGTAGTTGTTTGCTTGTTGATTTTTGTCTACGAAAATCAAGCGTGATCTTGGACATTGGTGAGATTTGATTTTTTGATATTTTTCCAACACTGAGTGAGTTTAATCAAAAGTTTAAGAGAGTAAAAAGATGTGCATTGTTAAGAGTCCCTTTAAATTATCCTATCTAGGTATTGCAATTTTACAGCCTTGAAAATTACGAATCACAATAATTCCTCTGGTCTCAAAACTGAACTGATCTCAAAACAAACTTTCAATTTGTGATATGGTTACATGTGATTTGACACGACTGTAGCAGACAGGATTTGCAATTGCGATAGAGATTTGAAATGTTGTACAAACTTGTGAGTCCATCAATTATCTATCGTATCCACCGCTGGGTGTCACTACACTGACGAAAACAACCACAATACTTCAAATCATTATTACATTGCTCGATCCCTTTAACAATATGCTTTAGAATTTCGGATGATTGCCTTATGGTTGAATTCTTCATCAGCTGATAAGCATCCATATGACTGTCAACCAAATAAAGATGATATTTAGATGAAAATTGGCAGAAGAACATAGAGCGCTCAGAGGAAAAACAATTAGGATGACTTCCAAATGCTTTAAATTAGACTGTTTACATTTGAAATGGAAATGGATACAAAAATCGTTTGTTGGTAGAGGAAACTTCCTCCACCACGAAATAGACAATCTTCGGTATCCACGTTTTACCAATGTTCGTACCACCGCTTATGGCGATGACTATGTTTCCACCTCGTTTGTCAGCTTAGATCAGCAAACGACGTCCTATACAATTGTTTCCATCATTGTTTTGAATGATTTGAGCTATGGGCTGAACCAATACCATGTGCATTTCAATTAAAGAGGACAATCATTATGCAGAGAGCATTACGTATTTCAACTGAGGTCCGTTCTTCCTGCATTCGAGAGGAGCATCATCTGATAACAAAACATCCGTTATCCGGTTGCAGCTATCAATCCATAAAATCGATTTCGATGTTTCGATTCTAATGGTCTGATGTTTCATTCGAACAGAGGATGATGTTTTGGTACAGTGTAGTGACTTCGTCGATAAGTGAAGGACGGAACTCAAAAATGATTTATAACTTTTAAGGATCGATGTATAGTGCTTTGGAATGATCTACAATGTTGTCAGATTATCAATTATCTACCCAATGATAACATTATTCAAGCTTCTGGTTTCTAAATTCCAAGATTACGACTTCCGGTTTGTCAAAAACTGTTAAATACCCTATAATATGGGTATTTATGGAACGAAATCGATATTTGATGCCATTTTCTGAATCCAATATGGACTTTCGGTTCTGCAACTAAAAATTGCGACTTTCCGTTTGTGTAAAACTGTCAAATATCGATTAATTTTAATGGGAATGTATGACGCCATTTTAGAATTCCAGATGGCGACTTCTGGCCTGTGAAAAACTGTCAAATACCCAAAAATATGTTTATTTTCGTAACGAGGTCGGCATGTTGAGGCTGGCATTCAACGTTTAATGCCATTGTGGAATCCATAATGGCGACTTCCGTTTGTGGAAAACTGTTGAATACCCTATAATATGGGTATTTCTGGAACGGGGACGACGAGTAAAGGACGGCCATCAATCTGTGATACCAATTTGAAGTTCAATATCGTAATGAACCGAATACCGGACAGTCTTTTCATACATTTTTAATTGAATATGAGACCCACTTGGCAACATAATAATTATGTTAGATTAACATAGACGACACTACAGGATCCGAATAAAATCTTCGTGACATTTGAATCCTATTTGGCAATAAGCCCAATCATCTTTTTAAAGTGTCCGGATTCTTAGACTAAGTGTCTGGATTTCGGTGCATTTTTGAAACGGGAACGGCGTGCCGAAATCGATGATTGATGCCATTGTGAAATCCAAGAACCCAGCTACTTCCGGTGTGTGTAAAACTTTCAAATATTCTCCAATATGGATAGTTTTAGTTTGGAGACGACGAGTAAAAACTGGAAATCGATTATTAACGCCATTTCGAAGTCCAAAATGGCGACATCCACTGTGGGTATTTTTGGAACGAGGACGACGTAGATACCAGAAATCGATGTTCGACGCCATCCAAGATGTTGACTTCCAGTTATAAGAAACTGACAAATGCCCATCAAGATGGGTATTTTTGGAACAGGGGCGACGTGTAGAGGCCGATATCTATGTAAGATGCTTCATCTAGTTTTTTTTAACTGACGCCATGGATATTTTTTAAAACCCAACAATATGGATATTTTTGGAATGAAGACGACGTTATGTTCCGGGAAATTGATGTTTAACGCCATTTTGGAACTGCCAAACTGTTAACTACCCTACAACATGGATATTTTTGGAACGTGTAGAGGTCGGAAACCGTTGTATGTTTCCATTTTTAAATAAAAAAATTTAGGAAAGCTCCACGAACTTCAGGAAAGCGAGAACTTCAATGGAGTTCCGAGATGTCTAGAAATTTTCATAGTAGTTCCGAGAACTTTAGGGACGTTGCAAAAATTTCCAAGACATGCCGAATACTTCATTGACATTTAAAGTACTTCAGGGTCAAAGAATTTCAGGGAGCTTGAGACGAGAGGAGTTTCGAGAACTTCAGCAAAATTTTGAAACTGCTGATTAGCATTTTACCAAATACAATTTCCTTCTAAGAATTGCCTTACAGTTCTCGGAACTGCCCTAAGTTCCTGAATGTTTGCTGAAGTATTCGAAACTCTCCTGAAAACTCATTTAAAGTTCTTACAGGACTTCCCTGAAGCTCACGGAAATTTTTTCATGTTTTCGACACTAGTCATAAAAAGGAATTATTGAAACATTACTGAAAATCTAAGAATAGCTTCTCGGAACTTCCCAGCAAATCTAGGAAAAATTAAAGAATTTTCGAATCATCTCAGATGGACTCGGACTTCATGAAACATTTTAGAAAATCCGATTTTTTTTCCTGAAGATCTGAGAATTTCCCACAAAGTCCGCGAACTACCTAGAAACTCTAAAAACGTCCCGAACATTCCGAAAAATTTCAAGATTTTTTTTTTTTTTATATCTTTATTAAGGAGACTTTCAGCCCTGGGCTGGTTCGTCTCCGTTTCCAGAATTCCTGAAAGCTTCACAGAGTTAGTGGGAGCTCCCACAACTTTCGAGAACTTATCTAAAAGTTCTAGAATTTCCCGGAAAATCCGAGAACTTCTCAAAAGTTCCAAAAATATTAGAGCACTTTCCAGAAGTCCCGAGGAAGCGGCCCCGGTGGTGTAGTGGTAAGCGTTATTACCTTTCACCCCAGTAGGCCTGGGTTTCATCCCAGTTGGCGCCACCGAGATGTTCTGAGGCATAACATCTCTGATCACGCCTTCCTTCGGAAGGGAAGTAAAGCCGTTGGTCCTCGGATAATGAGTTTATGGGTCGATAAGTAGGGTCCAGGTGTGGGAACTGCCTCCCTGGCGTTGGTAGCATTCCAAAGAACATCGAAAATGTACCAAAATTCCAAAATTTTCGGGAGCTCCCACAAATTCCGAGAGCTTCTCTAAAAATCCTAAAACTTCCCAGAAAATCCGAGAACTTCGCAAAAATTTCAAATAGATTAGAGCACTTCCCAGAAGTCCCGGGAACTGAACAGAAGTTCCGGGAGCTTTCCATAAATTCCAAGAACTTCACAAAAGATTCAACGACTTGTCAGAAGTTCTGTGCACTTAACACAAATTCCAAGCACTACGAGATATTCTAGATTTCAGAACGTCCCAGAAAATCCGAAAATTTCCCAGAAGAATTCCGAACTTCCTGCTGATCCGAGAACTTCCCAAAAATTTCTATGAGCTTCTTTCCACAAATTCCGAGAGCTTCTCCTAAAATTCTAGAACTTCCAAGAAAATCCTACAGCTTCGCAAAAATTCCACAAATATTACAGCACTTTCCAGAAGACCCGGGAACTGCACCGAAGTTCAGGGAACTTCCCATTAATTTCGAGGACTTCACAAAAGATCCAACGACTTGCCAGAAACACTGTGCACTTCTCACAAATTTCAAGTACTACGAGGTCTTCTAGATCTCGGACCACCCGGAAATTCCAAGAGTTTCCCTGAAGACCTTTAAACTTCCTAGCCGAGAACTTCCCAGAAATCCCTACAAGATTGGATTTTTTGGCCAAGATGGGCACCACCGAGCAGCTCCCCGTTTTATTTTGCTGGATCTCAGTGAAAAAATTGCCAAACTTCAGCTAACAAACGGGAATTTTGCCGAGATCTTTCCGAAAAACCCGAGAATTTTCCAGAAGATCTCAGAACTTCTCAGAAATTCTGGAAACTTCCTAGAAAAAAACAAGTATTTCCCAGAAATTCTGAGAGCTTTTCATAATTCTAATGAGCTTCTCTAAAAG